ACCCCCATCGCGGAGAAGGACACATTTATTCCCAGAAGCATTTGGACACAGGGAAGCTTGGTGTGACGAGATGGTGGGGGGGGGGGGGGTGAGGGACGAGCACAAGCCCACCCGTGAGGACTTAGTTCCGAGTGATGGAGATGCACACGGGCTCATTCCGCTCCCAGCATCCCACTGAGGCCTCTCCCTGCTGGTCTGTGCCACACGCCAGGGACAAGTAAGACCCACTCAAGCTCCCGGGAGCTCAGAGCCCGGCAGAGGAGCCAGCTCAAATAAAAAGCCAACAATGGCTGTGATGAGGCCCGGTGACAGCCAGCCAGGGAGGAAGCACACCTGGGATGAGGGCTTCCTGGCGGGAGTGGCATTAAGCTGGGCTTTGACGGCTGAATAGGAGGTCGCCGGCAGGCAGCGCAGGGAAGTGACCAGCTATGGCAGGCACGTCGGTAGGGAAAGCACAGAAGATGTTTCCTTCTGGAGATCGCGAGTCGTTCCTATCGTTGGTGCGTGGAGGCAGCGATGGGAGAGGAGGCGGCACACACCAGCGAGGGCTCACGTGGTCAGCACTCGGAGAGAGAGTTAGGGTTGAATTCGGCTTGGGATTTGAATGCCGTTAAAGAAAACACTTAACTATATCGGATTGACCAACAGCAGATAAAAAAAACATGTGCCCTGGCTGGGTGGCTCAGCTAATTGGAAGGTCGTCCCATAAGCCAGAAGGCTGCAGGTTCCATTCCCATCAGAGCACAGAGGTAGGTTTGGGGGGTTCCATCCCTGATCAGGGCACATGCTGGAGGCAGATGATCAATATTTCTGTCTCTCTCTCTCTCTCTCTCTCTCTCTCTCTCTCTTTTTAAAAATCAACAGACATACCCTTGGGTGAGGATTTTTTTTAAACCAACAATAAAACATAAAAATGCATGTGGTTTCCCTGTATTATCTCACTTAGACCTCAGAACAAGCCCAAGAGGTCGGGGGAGGGGGAGGGGCAGAGAGGTCAGTGACTTGGCCAAGGCACACACGTGGAAGGGGGCAGGAGGGGCAGGAGGGGCAGGAAGGGCGGTTAATGTTTAACCGGTACAGGGTTTTCATTTGAGAAGATCCAGAAGGTTCCGGAGATGGACGGTGGTGATGGTTGCACAATGATGTGGATGGACTTCATGCCACTGAACTGTGCACTGAAAAAGTGCTAAAACAGTAACGTTTAAGTCATGTATATTTCATTGCATTTTAAAAAGAAAGACAGCCCTAGCCAGTTTGGCTCAGTGGATAGACTAGTGTCGGCCTGCAGACTGAAGGATCCCAGGTTTGATTCCGGCCAAGGGCACATGCCCTGGTTGCGGATTCGATACCCACTAGGGGGCGTGCAGGAGGCAGCAGATCCATGATTCTCTCTCATCATTGATGTTTCTGTCTCTCTCTCCCTCTCCCTTTCTCTCTGAAATCAATAAAAATATATATTTTTTTAAATTAAAAGAAAGACAAAGGAAGGGTCTGGAAATGCATCTTCACCGACAGCCAGTGGGGAGGGTAGCTGGACTTCCCTGCTGCAGGGAGGAGGCGGGCACCTCAGGGCCCGGATTGGCTGTGCTGCCCTGTGCGCCTCTGGGGGCAGGTCTCTGCTGGGCGCAGGTCTCCCCTGGGCGCAGGTCTCCGCTGGGGGCAGGTCTCAGGGCCTTTCTGGGAAAGCCAAGGAAGCCGGCTGATTCAGATTTCCTGATTCAGATTATTTCCAGCGGCTGCCATCTGCGGCCAGCCTTATTAGGAAGGCTGGGCTGGTACAGAGAGAGGGTGAGGTAAAAGGCGCCGAGAAGCCAGGCTTTGTCACCCTGGACATCCCCCATCCTGGGCCTTACACTGCGCGTCCGGAGAACGTGCGGGACAGGAAGTCTGTCCGAGAGGGGCCTGGAGAGGGACAGCCACCGTGCTCCCCCTGGCCACCAAGGGGGCATCCTTAAGAGGCTATTCACAAAGGTGCAGCAGAGCTGGGCACCCAAAGGGACCGGGGAGCAGCCCAGCAGGACTGTGCCCGCCCTCAGCGGGGAAGGCTGGTGAGGGAACCCCGAGGGCGCCAGCGTGGGGAAGAGCCGCTGGTAAGGAGGTCCCTGCAATAAGGGCGCTGGGAAACCAATACCCAGGCCGCTCTCCTGCTGTGGGCCAGGCCCGGCGGGCAGCCAGAGAGCAGGGGCCCATCAGTGAAACCACGCGAATCCGGACGGGGTGAGGGGGCGGGGGGGAGGAAAGGTAGGCACGCAGACAGATAGGAGCCAAGCGAGGGCCACCTGCGGGTGCAGAAGGTCACTGGGGCAGAAGCCCTGGGCACCTTGAAAAACACCTGGAGGGACCTCGCCCCAGGGGTCGCTGGGCCTGCGTGTGGGCCCCTGGCCTTTCCTCCCACCATAACATCCAGGCCCCGAAAAGCCACAAACGCAGACAAGCACTGCCAGGGCTGCCCTCGGGACCAGCTGCCCTGAATGCTGCCCCTGCCCCCTGCCCTGGCACCAGCCCAGCAGCGGAGAATAAGGCCCTGAAGGGCACACCTGGAAAACTGCTAAACAGGCTGTGACTGCTACAAAGGCGATGAAAACTTCCCCGTGGGACCCCCACCCGTAAAGCCACGGGACCCAGGGCCCAGCGAGCTCTCCTTCCCGGGAGCCGGGCTCCCCGTTTCCCTCCTGCTCTGCCTCCCCCAGGCCCATTCCCTGGACCCTCCTCACCTCTGAGCTCCGAGGGCCCTCCCCTTCCCTCCACAATGCGTTTCCTAAGCCCGTTTTTATTTCCTGCAAAACACTCCTTCTACCTCCGTGATTTCCCAAACAGATGCCCTCTGATGGTGTGAGGCTGGGCTCTGAATTCTTTCCCGGCCAGAACCCAAGTGCCGAGGCTGCTGGACCAGGTCGGGCCTCACCTCTGCGGTCTGACCCTGGTGCCATTCCCGCCGCCGCCGCCAACAGTCAGACCCCGCGGAGGCGCCGGAGGCCCACGGAGGAACTCATCCCGAGAGAAAAAACCGGACTCTGCCTGGGCCTGGCCAGGGCTGCGGGCAGCGTCCCCCCGGGTGGCCCTGCCCCCTCCCAAAGGCTGACCTTGGGCCCAGGGTGAGAGGGAGCCGAGAGGAGAGAGCCCCGCTCACCGGTGTGAGGGCCTCGGCCAGGGCTCCTGTCCGCCGGTGGCTGTACCTCCACTCACCCGCGGCTCAGCTCCCCTCTCCTGGACTAAGGAGCCCTGGATGAAGCGGGGAGCAGCCCAGCGCCCCGAACTGCAGGCTCCCGGACTCCGGAGACCCCTCTCCCAGCCCGGAGGTCCGGCCTCCGGACACTGGGCCGGCCAGCAACCTCTCCCTCCCAGAGCTGTCCTGAGGACTCAGACATTTCTGAAAAGAGGGGGCGCCGCCGCTGGCCAAGGAGGTGCTCCCCCACGCTGTGGATTGGCGGCTTTGCTAGCAAGCATCCACTGGCCCCTCATTCATTCATTCACACACACACACACACACACACACTGCCCCTCATTCATTCATTCATTCATTCACACACACACTGCCCCTCATTCATTCATTCATTCACACACTGCCCCTCATTCATTCATTCACACACACACACTGCCCCTCATTCATTCATTCACACACACATTGCCCCTCATTCATTCATTCATTCATTCACACACACACACTGCCCCTCATTCATTCACACACACACACACACACACTGCCCCTCATTCATTCATTCACACACACACACTCATTCACACACACACACACACACACTGCCCCTCATTCATTCATTCATTCATTCACACACACACACTGCCCCTCATTCATTCATTCACACACACACACTGCCCCTCATTCATTCATTCATTCACACACTGCCCCTCATTCATTCATTCATTCATTCACACACACACACTGCCCCTCATTCATTCATTCATTCATTCACACACACACACACTGGGCCCCTCATTCATTCCATTCACACACAGCACCTGCCCTCAATTCAATTCATTCACAACACTGCCCCTCATTCATTCAACTCACACACACAACACTGCACCTCATTCATTCATTCATTCACACTACTGCCCCTCATTCATTCATTCACAACACACACATTTGCCCTCATTCATTCATTCATTTCCACTACACTGCCCCTCATTCATTCATTCAATTCACATCAACACACCACTGCCCCTCATGCATTCATTCATTCATTCACACACACACACTGCCCCTCATTCATTCATTCACACACACACTGCCCCTCATTCATTCATTCATTCACACACTGCCCCTCATTCATTCATTCACACACACACACACACACACTGCCCCTTATTCATTCACACACACACTGCCCCTCATTCATTCATTCACACCTTCACACACAGACACACACACACCCCTTACCCTGCCTCGCACCACTGTTGCGGTTATTTTGTTTGCTTTGCTGGGTTTTCCTCTCCCGCCTCCCCTCGCAGACTGTAAGCCCGGAAGAGGCCCCCCACCCCGCCGCCCTCGGATCCTGGGCTGGGCTGGTTTGTCCGTGTCACACACTGGGCATCCCCCTGACTCCCATGCCCTCTCTCGCCGGCTCAGCCCGGGTGGGGCAGCACCGCGGGCCCTTTATAGACGGAGGAGCGGGGCCAGCGGTGCGGCCCGGCCCCGGTCGCAGGGCCGGACTCTGCCCCGGCAGCCCGGCCGCTCCCCCGGGCGCCGGGCCTCACCGCTGGCCCCGGGAGCCAGGAGCCGGCCGAGCGCCGCGACCCGCGACCGGGCGTCCTCACGGCGGGGCCCTCCGGCCCCTCCCCGGCCGCGGCGGGGCGAGGGCAAAGGCCCGGAGGCCGGGGCGGGCCGGGCCGGGCCCGGGCGGGAGGCGGAGGCGGGCGGCGCGGGGGGCGGGCCGGGCCGGGGCGGGAGGCGGCGCGGGGGGCGGGCCGGGCCGGGCCGGGGCGGGGGGCGGGCCGGGCCGGCGGAGGCGGGCGGAGTCAGGGCGGCGGCGGGACTCGTGCTCGGCCCGGGCTCCGCTCGGCGCTCGGCCCCTGGCTCCCGGCTCCCGGCTCCCGGCTCCCGGCTCCCGGCCCCCGATCCGCGGCGGCGGCGCCCCCGCGCCCGGCCCGGAGCAGCCATGCCGCCGCGGCGCAGCATCGTGGAGGTGAAGGTGCTGGACGTGCAGAAGCGGCGGGTGCCCAACAAGCATTATGTGAGTGCGCTGCCCGCCCTCCGAGCCCGGGCCGGGCCCCCGGGAGCCCCCTCCCCTCCGCCCCCTTCCCTCCTCCTTCCCTCCCCCTCCCCCTCCCCCTGACCCTCCCCCCCTCCCCCGCCGCCCGCCGCCGGGCCCTGCGCCTCCCTCCCCTCCCCCGCCTCTGCCGGTCCGCGTCCGCCTCCCCTCCTCCCTCCTGGCCCCGGTGCCGCTTCTCTCACCCTGTCCACCACCCCGGCCCCACTGCATCTCCCACCCCCCTCCACGTCCCCCGCCCCCTTCACATCCCCCCTGGCCCTTCATCTCCCTCCACCCCCCTCCACGTCCCCCGCCCCCCTCCATTCCCTCCAACCCCCCTGCCCCCCTGCACCTCCCCCCCCGCACCCCCTCCACCTCCCCCCGCCCCCCTGCAATCTCCCCCCCCCCCGCACCCCCTCCACCTCCCCCTGCCCCCCTCCACGTCCCCCTCCCCCCTCCACCCCCTCCAACCCCCCCGCCCCCCGCCCCCCTTCACCTCCACCCCGCCCCCTATCTCCCCCCCGCCCCCTCTACCTCCCCCACCGCCCCCTCCACCCCCTCCATCCCCCTGGCCCCCCTCCACCTCCCCGCGCCCCCCTCCATTCCCTCCTGCCCCCCTGCACCTCCCCCCGCCCCCCTCCACTCAGTCCTGCCTGGCCCCAGCCGATGGAGGGACAGGGAGAGGCGCCAGCCTCGGGCCCTCCTGGTCCGCAGGCTCCCAGGCGCAGGGACCAGCCACAGGTACCCCTCCCTGCATCGCCAGGTCCCGCTGCGCCCTTTCGGGGGAGACAACCTGTGAGATGCAGGGGAAGGGGGTGTGTCTCAGAATGGGTCCCCAGAGCGCCTGCACCCTAAGAAAATTGAAAAAGAAAACAGCCCCCCCCCCCCCAGTAGCTTCTATGTTAAAGTGTACAAAGTTTTCTCCGGTGTCTCCCTCTGTGCAGAGGGACTCTGGTTTAGGGCTGGCGAGGACATTAGGCCCATTCTGCAGATGGGAAGGCTGAGGCTCTGAGAGGCCGCAGGTTCTGGAAGGTGGCGCTGGATTCAGGTCTTCCCAGCCGGCCGCTGGGACGTGCCTGGGCAGACGGTGGCCCGCAGGGGGGAATGGCTTTCCCAGCCGCCTGGGGGCTGGATCTGGGGCGGCGGGGGCCCGAGGGGCCCTGGGACCGCCCAGAGGTTGGGGTGGAGGGGTGGGGGGCTGTGGGGGGCTGTGGGAGGCTGCCCCGCTGGAAAGCAGGGAGCTGCGTGGCTGGTGGTGGGAAGGGGCCGTGGCAGCGGCTGCTGCGGAGTTCACCAGGAAGGAAAAAAGAGGGAGAGGGAGAGGGAGGGAAAAACCCAAACAAAGAGGAGGAGAACAATGAGTAGCAGAGGGCGTTGGCTGGCCAGATCGGCTCCCTGGCCTCCCCGAAAGCCAGGCCATCGTGTGCTCCCGAGGCCGGTGCCTGCGCCGCGATCGGCGTGCCTCCGCCGGCCTGTGACGCCGGGCCTCTGCGGGAAGGCTGTGCCCTGTGTCTGTATTGTTATTGGCCGGCCGCTGGCTGTCCAGCCTCCGCCAGGCGGCGGGAAGCTATTTCCTGGACCTGCGGCATCTCTAAACAGAGGAAAGTTTCTCTGGGTCCCAGCACTGAGCCGCACGGCCCGCGTCCCCCGCCCCCTCTCTGTGGGTGACCCGTCTCAAGGGCTGCCAAGCCCGGGGTTTCTTGTTGGAGCCTGTTACGTGCATAACCCGCCTGGCTCTCTGCTGGGCGACAGACTCGCCAACATGGCAGCAGGCGGAGGTCGGAGATGCCCCATGCCGCCTCCCACCGGACCCGGGAGCCGGCAGAACCAGGACAGAAACGGCCACCGCACACGGGCACCGGCGGCCACCGCTCCCTCCCGCCCTTCCCCGTCACGTCATGTCAGACAGAGGCCCTGGAGCCCTTTTACAGGTGGGGAAACTGAGGCTCGGAGCGGTGAGGACCTGTGCCTGAGCTCACAGACAGATCCAGGTCTGCCGGGCCCCACGGGGGTATTCCACCGGGTGGCACCGCTGCCCAGACCCCGCCCCCTCCGCGCTCCCCGAAGCCCGGTCCCCGAAAACGCCGGGAAGTCTGCCATCGTCTGTGACCACCCTGAGGCTTTCCGTCTCTGCTTAGTCAGCCCTTCCTGCCAGGTTTTTTTTGGTTTTTTGAGGGTTCTGCAGCTTTGAGGCGTCTTTCTAAGCTTTCAACCACTGTTCAGGGCCTCTCAGGACAAGCCTCTAAATGTTCACACGTGGGTCTGGGTTCAGTCTTGGCCTCGCAGCTTGCTAGCTGTGTGGCCTCCCAGAGCCTCAGTTTCCTCCCCTGTCAGCTGGGGGTGTGTGTGTGTGTGGGGGGGGGTTGAGGGTGCCCACTTCCTAGCGGGAGGGACCATGTGACTGGCACGGCTGGCTCCGTAACACGCAGATGCCTGCCTCCCGGCCCCGTGGTGTCCGTGTCACCCTGATTGGAAACACGCTAAAGTCACATGGGGAGCCCGTTTCTCTGTGTGTGAACCGGGGTTAGTCACGCTGTGATTCAGGTGGCCTCCCTCCCTCTGTGCAGGCTCCGGGCTCCTCGGAAGATGGCTGAGCCGCAGTCTGAGTTGCCCTCAGGAACCGGGCAGATGTAGTGCCGGGACGGCAGGGGTGTGAACCCACCAGATCCTGCCCCCGCCATCCCCACCCCACCGCCCCGGGAGGAGTGGGTGTGGAGGCAGAGGTGGGCCCGGGTCCGCACTTCTCTTCCGTTCGGGAGCGCCTGTCCGAGCCCGGCCCGCCGCCCGGAGAGCCTGTGAGCGGGCGCTGAGCGGTCCTGGGCTCGGCCGCCGCCTGCGTGTGACCTTGGGCTGGTGCACGGCCCTTCCTCGGCCCCTCGCCTGTGATCTGTACGTTGTACGCACGGCCACTGGCCTCGAGGGCAGAATGTCTCAGCCTCAGGCTGCTGCGTGCGGACCAGGTGGTGGTTTGCTGTGCGGCCGTCCTGCGCGCCGTGGGGTCAGAACCGACCGTCACTGGGACCGGGCCGCCTCACTGCCTGAGCCCATTCGGCAGAGACGGGGTGGGATCATTGTGAGCGTGTATTCCGATTCGCCCACAGCGTGGGGGAGCAGTGGGTCACCCCCAAACGCCTGTCCGCCCCCACCAGGAGCCAGCTGCTGAGACTGGGCAGAAGGACAAACAACTCTGTCCTATGGGGAAGGGTGTGCCAGGTGGGCAGTGTGTAGGTGACGGGGGTTGGAGACCTGCGTGGCCTGCAGGTATGCAAGGGCTGGGGTCTGCACAGGGCTGGCGGCTCTGGTGTCTGCACCAGGGTTGTTCATCCGTCCACCCTAACAGGCAGCTCCCTGAGGGGGGGTGGGCTGCATGTCCAGGTGAGCCCCCAGGTCCCAGCCGGACCAGAATGTGCCTTTTTCGCCGGAACAGAGCAGTCGCGGTGAACAGGGCCTGGTTAACGCTGCTCACAGCTACAGCGGGTCCCCAGGGTCCTGCTTCTGCCCCTCTCGGACGTGCAGTAGCATCTCTGGCTTCTACCCACTAGATGGTAGGGCATCCCCCTCCCCAGCTGGGCCAACCAGAAGTGTGTCCAGGAGACATGCTCCCCGGGGGTCCAAACCACACTCATCCCTCCCCTCCAGCCGCTGCATGAGAGCACACCGCTCAGCCAGGGAGCACTTCCGTCACCAAGACCCTCCGTCCCCTCCACCCTCCCCTGCTTTGCTGCTGGTCCGGCCACCTCCTGCTCATCCCTCCGTCGCCTGGGCGGGTCAGGTCACCGGTGCTGGAGACAATCCCTGGGGAGCTGCGCCTGGAGCGTGGGGCCGCCCACCAGGCTGGGCCGCCTCCTCCTCCTGCAGTGGCTTCTCTCCCATGATCGGGGTGGCCTCCATCCCGTGCCCTGCCCCAGCCTCGTTCGCCTGTGGGCAGCGCCACGGGCCAGGCCCGAAGGTCGCAGGGGCCTCTGAGATCCCAGAGGTTGGGTAGCATTACTCTTGGTGATAAATTCAATGATATTATTGGGGGGGGGGGGCTCCCCAGAGCTGCTGCCTTTCTCCGCCGGCACCTTTCCTGCCCAGAGCCAGGGCTCTGCCAGTGTGCCCCCCGCCCCCTCGCCATAGAGAACCTCCCGGCTGGGTTGCCTTCTGGCCTGAGGGGAACGGGGAGCGCCCCCTGTGGGTGTGCGGGTGTATTGATTGCCCCATTTCCGGCACTGGAGTGGGCTAGCCAAGCCTTGTGGTTGGAAGAGGCTTAGTCATCAGGGCCCCAGGTGCTGGCTTGCTCTGTCAGGAGTTCCTTAGGTCGGTGGTCGGCAAAGTGCGGCTCAAGAGCCACATGCAGCTCTTTGGCCCCTTGAATGTGGCTCTTCCACAAAATGCCACGGCCCGGGCGAGTCTATTTGGAAGAAGCGGCGTTTGCCGAAACCCGTTTGGCTCAGTGTATAGAGTGTCGGTCTGTGGACTGAAAGGTTCCAGGTTCGATTCCGGTCAAGGGCATGTCCCTTGGTTGTAGGCACATCCCTGGTAGGGTGTGTGCAAGAGGCAGCTGATCAATGTTTCTAACTTTCTTTCTCTCTCCCTTCCTCTCTGTAAAAAATCAATAAAATAAAAAATAAAAAAAGAAGTGGCGTTAGAAGAAGTTTAAGTTTAAAAAATCTGGCTCTCAAGAGAAGTTTCAATCATTGTCCTGTTGATATGTGGCTCTGTGCACGGATGAGCCTGCCGACCACTGGCCTAGGTGCTAAGAGGAGCATGGTGGCCCCACCTGTGGGGCTCCTCTGTGGAGCTTCGGCCCAGCAACCAGGAGGTCACCGGTTCATTTCCGGGTCAGGCCATGTGCGGGCTCCATCCCCTGCGGGGGATCCTGCCTGATGTTTCTGTCTCTCTCCCTTCCTCTCTTTCTAAAAAATCAATAAAAACATATTTAATTGGAAAAAAAAAAAAAGAAGAAGAGCATGATGATTGTAGTTAGAGCAGCAATGTTT